AACAACTCCCATCCGCTAACTCTCCATGTTATTACTTTAACATATATTTATCGATTGTCTTCTCTAAGCTTGGCTTAATAATTAATATTAAATCAGCGGTTGGAGAAGGGGGGGAAATATTCTAGCGCATGGTGAGGGGCACATCATATATGCTTCTACCCCACCAACCGTCATCGCCTCGGGTCAACGCGACTCTACCGACATCACGATACTCACTTGACATGATCAATCACTATGCTCAGAGCAGCGCAAGTCATATTACCCCATATAAACGACTTGGGGCAGCTTTCAAGCAAAATGACCCACTTTACCCTCCTTATGGAAGGAATTAGATTACCACTCGCCGAGGGCCGATGACGGCATTCCTCTAAAGGTAATAGTTCGCGATTGGAGGCTATGAAGACATGAAGGGCGCAGGGCGTAATTGACATGACTTTCTCTAGTCCTCTTATACATTCAACCCTAGCTTCCCTCCTAGAAACAAACACAAGTCTGATCTACCCTACGCCATCATGTCCATCAACCCAGCCACTCATGCCATTCACGCCGACAGGCACTTGGACATTCTCACCGACGTCTCACCTGCGCTTCACACATCCACCACATTCCGCTACCCCCAGGACCCCGATCAACTCGAGCCCGTCATTGAGGGCGAATCAGTCCTCGACCTCTCCACTCCGCTTGTCTATTCACGCCTAGCCAATGCGAATATCAACCGTCTGGAAACCGTCCTGGCGCCATTGATATATCCCGATGCAAAGCAAGATGAACTCGAGCAACTGGCAAACCACGTCGTCAGCTACAGCAGTGGCCTAAGTGCATTTCACGCAATGCTAGTAAACGTAGTGCCAAAAGTAGTTGCAATCGGCGAAGGATATCACGGCTGTCACGGCGTACGTATCCACCCCATCCCATCCAACCCACCACCACCCCTAACTCCCCCTCCCCTAGGTCCTCTCCCTCCACAAAAAGCTCCACAACCTCACCAGCGTCGACCTCCACGCCCCAGACTCCGCCTGGGACGCCGCAGGCCTCGGCAAAGGCGACATCGTGCACATCGAAACGCCCCTCAACCCGACCGGCGAAGCAACCTCCATCGCGCACTTCGCCGTGCGCGCGCACGCCCGTGGCGCTCTGCTCTCTGTCGACTCGACCTTCGCGCCGCCAGGCCTGCAAGACCCCTTCCTCTGGGGCGCAGATTTCGTGATGCACTCCGGGACAAAGTACATTGGGGGCCACTCCGATTTGCTCTGCGGGGTGCTGGCGACGGCCGCGACGGATGAGGGGTATAAGCGCGCGCTAGAGCTGCGGTTTGAGCGGCTATTTCTTGGGTCCGTGATGGGGAATATGGAGTCTTGGTTGGGGGTGCGGAGTTTGCGGACGTTGGCGTTGCGTGTGCAACGCCAGGCTAATAGCGCGACGGAGCTTGTACGCTGGTTTTCCACGGCGCTCGCGGCGAAGGATACGCTTGTGTGCAGCGTCGTGCACAGCGTCACGCACGCCTCGCTGCAAAGCGAGCCGTGGCTCGCGTCGCAAATGCCGCGCGGCGGCGGGCCTGTGTTTGCGCTGTATATGCAGAGCACAGAGCTTGCGCGGCGGTTACCTGGTTTACTACAGTTTTTTCATCATGCGACGAGTTTAGGGGGCGTGGAGAGTTTGGTGGAGTGGAGAAGGATGTCGGATTCGGGGGTTGATGGGAGGTTGGTGAGGGTTAGTGTTGGGGTGGAGGAGGTGGGGGATTTGAGGGCGGACTTTGAGAGGGCGTTTGGGGTTTTGGGGAAGGAGGGGAAGGGGAAGGAGGGGGGTGGGGATGGGGCGATATAAGGAAGAGAGTTAGATGTTACAATGTATCACTCAGTGCAATGAGGTCATAATATAATGAAAAAGATACTTCTAGACTATATATATAGACATCGCCAGAATCGCGAAAAGGGGCCTATCTTGACTTAATATTTAAAATAGGGTGACTGATCTATTGTTGTACTAAGTACAATTCACAAACGTTACACGTTGTGTTGGAACTGCTAAATAATTATAGTTTAGATGACTATCTATCAATGAGCAAGAGAACCGACTAAATAGTCAGTCTCCACGAAACAAACATACTTGCTGTTTAAGACTGTACGCACCAAACTGTCAAACATCAAACTGACAATACATGAGACGGAAACCTCGAGGAACCAATCAGCAAATTGTGAGTATAACATGCATAAAAGATGGACTCTTATTTTCTCTCATCTACATCATGATAAACCTCGACGAGCCAACAAACAAAACATATCCATCATTTCCCACCACCCCCATCCAAAAGGAAAACCCCGACTAATGCCCCCCCCCCCCAAAAAAAAAACCGCTCAAATCATGATGAAAGAAAAAAAAGCAGACCTACGCCATCCCAAAAACCGCCTTAACCCTCCTCGCCAACTCCCTCCCCATAGCCCTCCTCGTCTCCCCCGTGCGCCCCGCCGCCTCCCGATTCTCACTCGCGCGCCTGAGCAAAAAATTCAAACACTCGGCCGTGCTCCCCCACGTCATGCACTTGACGACCTTGGCACGGGCATCCGCGCGCATCGTCGCGTCCTGCACCAGGCGCTGCGAAATCTCGTCGGCCATGCCTTGCAGCTGGGCGTATGTGAGTGCGGGGAGCCGGGGGGGAGGGGAAGAGAGGAGCTGGGATTGGCGGAGGGAGAGGGCGGTTGTTAGGGAGGGGAGGTTGTGTGTTGCTAGGACGATTGAGACTTTTGGGAAGGCGGTTTGAGGTGATGATGATGATGGTGATGATGATGATGATGATGATGATGATGATGGGGGGGCGGGGACGGTGTCGGTCCAGGATTGTGTGAGGACGGCGTGGGCGCATGCATCGTACATTTTGTCTGTGCCTTCTTTGGTATCAAAAGTAAGGTGTTTGGGCTCCGAAGTAAGGTATGCGCCGCGCACGAGTTTGACGCCTGCGATGTAGTTGCCTTTGCTCGCGAGGGCGAGGTGGTGCGCGAGGCGTGTGGAGATGTCGCGGAGGTAGCATTGGTACGTGATGTAAATAACTGCTTGGGTGCGGTCAGGAGTGTTGTATTTTTTTTGTAATTCGAGGGTCCATTTTTCGAGGCCGGGGTTTGTGAGTTCTTCTTCTGCGCCGGGGAGGAGGGAGACGCCTTTTGCGGCGGCAGCGTCGCACGCGGCGGTGATGGCGGACCACATTTCTGGGGTCGCGGGTTGTTGATTTTGCAGGAGGTGGAGGGCGTGGCGGCCGAGGCCGGACCATCTGTTGGAATATTAGTATTGGGGAGATAGGGATGGGGTGTGAATAGCCTACTTGAGTCCGACAAAGTCTCCCTCCTTCGCCATATCTACACTTTGCAGCATGCCCTTCCGCCACACTGCGATTTCCTGGGCAGTTTCTGCTGCAGTTGGTGTAGTTCCGCCTAGCACCTCCAAGGCGTATTCGAATAGTATACCATCGTATCCGAGCACTGATCGAGCGAAGTTGGTGTTTCGAACAACTTCGTCCTTCTTCTCACCCACACAGAACTGCGCATAGAAAGTCTTCTTCAGCAATTGTGCCAGGATAGGATTTTTCTCAATGCTCATGAGGTACGACTTGGAGTCTAGCATTCGCCGTAAGACGTTGAAGCATAGTGATAGCAGTACAGGTGACGACGACATGGCGGTGATGAGATAGGAACGTAGAACTGTGGATGTTGGCAGACGACCTAGCACCGCCTTTGCCGATGCTTGTTGTGACTCTGATTGTGTCGATAGGAGTTGTGAGGCATGTACTGATGATGACGCCGGCAAGGCGACATTGCGTTGTGAACTCTGATGCACATATCGAGGGAACTGTGAGATTGTTCGGAAAGATTGGAGGCGTGCAAACCCATCAAGGTGTCTGAGAGATTTTCCCCGCAGTCTTATAATCGTCATTGTGAGTTTAGATAGTATGACCCTCAGATTGGGTGGATTGGCCTCCTTTATGGCAGTTGGAGCAATGGCGCTTTGTCGGAGTGAATTGTTTCGCCCCCAGTGTCAATGCAGATTGAATTAGTTGAGAATGGCTGGATTTGCGGTCCTGTGACCATTATTTTCGTACTTGACGCCATATATACGGCACCTGACACTCTTTGTTGGCCATAGCTAACATCCACGATGTTGCGAGCGATGCTCGGCTTGCGTCGGATACCCTAAAGCTGCTCCAGACTGACGCGGACGCATGTGGCACACTGGTTGGATCGCCAGAACATATTGATTGGACAATGGCAATACCTGTTCCTGTGGAGTAATAAGCGGCCCGCTTCGGGGAATTCCAGGACTACGATGGATGGTGTGAACTCTGACCATGTCAAGGGTTGCTTGAAAGTCAAGTTAATGGACCATGGTGGTGGCTTTTGCTCGCCGTATCATCTCATCGAGCACTGCTTCTGCCCTATGCACTCATTTATCATTGTGACCTATCTTCCCCACGCTTCGGCATCTTAAACACTTGTTGCGTCATGCTCCTAGTGGTCAGCACGACAAGCCAGCTCGCATCGCAATCTAACATCCAGCAGAGCCGAAAGTACCCAGCCGCAATGTCACTTTTATTAAATCAGCAAACACCTTGATTTCTTCAATAGTATGATACTCTCTACGCCAGGTTCAAATCGCACCATAAAGGCCGGTATCGGATGGTGTGGAGACGAAAAGGCTTTCGGACACAACTTGACGTTGCGAGGGAGGCCGTTTTGATTGCGGAAAGCGTCGGCGCTCCACTCACGCAGAGGTATGTGCGTTGCCCTACGAGACAAACTCGCAATTGCCATTAGGTATTATCGTAGATTTGTTGCAAATTATGTTTGAATGCTGTCTGTGAGGTACCTATCTGAAGTTGTTTTGAAGCCCCGCTTCCTTCTTGGCATGACCCACCCAAGTCGGCTCACACCTTTGTCGACAGCTTTCTTTTATTAGGCTCGCAATCAATCGTGGATATATATTTTACAGATTTCCAATTCCCCATATCTCACTAAGCTCGTTTGGCCAAGTGGTAAGGCGTCGCACTTGTACTGAAAAAGTCATGCGAAGAGCGGTTGTTCGACTCAGCCAACGAGCATAATCTATGTTTTATTTTTTATTTTTTTTCTTTTCGTTTTTCCTTGCAGCGTCCTGGCTTCAAACAAAATAGAAACCCTTTCTTTTTTTATCTGTTGCACTTTCTTACTCTAAAACTATAGATGGATACCTCATATTCATGTCAGGTCCACTCCCACTTTGAGATGACCCCTGGTTATCCAAATTTTTATAAAAATGGAAGGCAGAAGCAAAGTTCCTTTATAAAGGGACTATATTAGTTAGTGTTTGTGCGCAAAGCTCGATTGAAACTTCAAGTTATTTTATAGAGCAGTTCGCTCAATTGTAGAAGATGTACTTCGCCCATTTTTGCAATATCATAGCAAAAGATTACCAGGGAAGTATGGTTACTTCTCCTATTGAATTACTTATCTGTAGATAAATGCAGAAATTCAAGACAGCATCAACATAGTCTAAATTTATAAGGGTAATTACACAACTAATACTATAGCGTTGAATAGCTCTCTTTCGAATTGATGTAACCTGCGACGCAGCTTAGATTTTCCGGGGGCTGCTGGTGCACGCGGCTATAATCGTCATTGCCAAGGTAACAACGCGTGCTTGCATGAATAGAACTAAGAACATGCTACATTCTAAATCCAGGGGGACTTTTATTTCTCATCGTAGTGATTATCGAGGGTCTGTGCCTATATGCAGATTTGTATGTGGAATGGTTTTGGGTGCAGCCTTTCATGGCGTTGACAGCGTTCAGGCTGATTATCAGCCGTTGTGGTAGAGTAGAGATGAACAGAAAAATAACTCAAATTTTCTTAACTGCGAGCGGCTAATAAAAAGATAATAAGCATTTACTTGTGGACATTTTCTATTTTAGCATATGTGTGAAGCTATATTTTATGTTTCAAGTGTTTGATCGTCAAAAGTTAAAAGCTTGGTATAGCTAATAGCTCCAGCATTGATGACAGGTCCCGTTTCCCAGGCTTATGCGGTGTCCAAAAAATTGAGGCAAGTTGCTTGCTAAACAGAGGTCACCCGTTTAGGATTTCTTTGGAAAGAAACTTTGACATGTAGAGTGTCAAAGTCGAGGTTGAGCTGTGGAAATCACGATATGGATTTATAAAGCGTTTAGATCTTGTTGCACTTCCTTTGGATGTAATTTTAATGCCAAATTTATTCCAAGATGCTTTGGTTTGCCTGCTAGAAATATTGAAAATGTGAGAACCCCTCCATATGTCGTCAAGATCGTACGAAGACTCATTATACGCCATAATCTATTTCTTATCATCATCTATATGTTTCGTCTATTGAAAGTGATTTTAGTAATCCCCTTGGACCTGGGAGTACCGCTATGTACGAAAAGCTGCTAATTTTTGCAGCTGTTTCCACAGGCAGGCCATCGCTGTAGCTGTCTAAACGAAAAAGAATTACGTTATGCTACTACAACTCGTCCTTGACTTCTCTCGCGATGCTCTTACCCTTGAAATTTTCTCCCTCTTTCTTCATCCTACGTAGTCGGAATACCCTTGCGGCGTGGCTCTTCACGTTCGCTTTAAGTAGGCCACCTGCCTCAACGACACCTATCTTCTCGCCAAAGAGTCGGGCATCTTCTTCGATAAGGCCTTTTGCATACGAAGTTTCAGTGGCGTTGTACCAGTTGACACTCTTCAGAAGTGCATCTCTCTCTGAGTTCGACTTCGCCGCTAACAACGTCTCCGCGGTCGTATCGGACATGCGATGCGCCCACAAGTCATGTATAGCCCAGTCAGATTTGCAGTGAGGGGCTGAGCCTCCAGGGCCAAAGGAGGTAAAGATTTCGGCGAGCGAAATGCTCATTTCGATGTCCTCGGCTCCAGCATTCAATAGAATGACGACCTCGTCTCCGTTTTGCAAATGCCCACTCCAGACATGCGTTTCACCGACACCCCATTCATCCTTAGCCACACCTTGCGTCTCCCTTCGGATGCGCGTCACACTTCGACCATGAGGGTCTTGACTGAGTGCGATAATAGCAGGGTTGTTGATAATAGTCAGAGCGGATGCAGACATGCTGCGCAGATCATTCCCTAGAAACAATGGCGATTTCAGAGCAGCCCACAAAGCAAAGTGCGCTTTATATTCTTCGTCTGTCATTCCACCTTGGCCAACCTCGAGCATATCGAGATCGCTCCAGCCGCCGGGGATGCTTCGATCCGCGAATGGTGCGACTTTGTTAAGGATAAAGAGTACCGAACAGTGCGTGCCCGGTGCAACGCAATTCACATCGCCTGGTGACACGGTGTTGCAACCGCAGAGATCATCTGGCCGAGAAAATGAGTCGTAAATGTCGCCAGTGATACGCCAGGAGTTAGAAATTGACATTCCCCACTACCAAAGGGGTTAGTGTACGGAAACAACCCAAGGAATGCTATGATTGGATCTAGCCGCGGCTGGGGACAAGCATACCGTATGAACAAGATCCTCGCCCCAATTGCACAAGTTTAGCAAGATGTTACGACCAGTAGCCTTTAATGCATCTGACATAACTTTGAAACGGTTAAACGACACCGTTGGGGTACCAACACGCCCCATATGATAACAACTATCATATTTCAGCATGTCGACTCCCCAACTTGCAAAACTCTTAGCATCGTCAATCTCGTGATCAAGGGATCCCGCTATTTAGTGTTAGCCTATAATTTCATGTGCGAGTAAACGTGTTGAATACCATATCTTGCGCATGTCATCTCACCAGCGCTGCTATACATTCCAAACTTGAAGTTTTGGTCGTGCAGGCGATCTGAAATTGATTTGAGGCCATTAGGAAATTTGCTAAGCTCGGGTTGCAATCTTCCATGTTCATCTCGGCCATCTGGATTCTGCCAGCAGTCGTCAAGCACTACATATTGATAGCCTAGATCGCGCAGCCCCAGGCTGACGATCTGGTCCGATGTAGTGAGAATCAAACTCTCAGACACGTCGCAGCCAAAGGCATTCCAGTTGTTCTTTTGCTAATTAGCTACACTAATCGAATCGGCCAAAGGGACAGTTGTACGCACCCAGCCCATTGGGGGTGTAATGGCTAACCCATTGTTGATTGCAGCGGCTCCAATCCAAAAGGTTGTGCCTATGAAGAGACTCATACGAGGGGAAGCCATTTTGAAAGGGGTGAAATTGGGTGTTGGAAGAGGGTTTCTACATCAACAAAACTTAAACATCAGCAACTCTTCCTCCAGCGTCTGTCCATGTGGGCCACGATGTCCGCTCGGACATCAAGGACTTCCCCGCAATAAGTGGAAAATGTAGGCATGTTTTCCGCCGCTAGTGCTAGTGCAGCAGGCCTCTTTGACCGAAAAATTGTTACTTCAAACTTTCACACGGATGCTATCGAGTAACATGACAGTGGCGACTGCTTGCTCAGAGCTAGAAGCGCCTCGTATTCGGGATCATTGTCCCTTGGCTCATGTTCCATATGTGGCGCGAATTGTACGAGGAAGCGTAACAACCATCGGTCCAGGACAAAACTGGTCTCTTTACTTCGGAGACACGTCTGATGAAATGCTCGTAGGCGACTCATAGCACCGTCAACGCTTGGCCAGTACGCTCGTAGACGTAATAGTATTTCAAAGTTGCGCTCTAACCTAGATTTCGAGAGGCGAATTTCGCGTTCGTCCTCAGAGAAGAGCAGCGTGTGGATCTGTACTGTCGAAGCAATGACAAGGATGTGAGATACTGCAGAGTATAATACTTCGCTACCGGGCAATTGGAAGGATCGGTAGACAAGGGAGCACAGTTGCCGAGCGTGATGCTTGCAGGCTTCTGCATATCGGGTCGAATATGCTGTGGCTTCTAGAGGCACTGATAGAAACTGGTAGTTCAATAGCTGTCCATAGTGGTAATACCCGAGGTAAACAGCTGCAAACATTCTCCCAAGGCCGCGTGATGCGAAGTACTGGAAGTTTGTGGGCGTATCGCGCATGTGTTGAGGTAGGCTTTCTAGCCACACATCAAGCTCGCGGGTTAATGATCGTACGCCGATCTCCAATGGAGGGCCTTCCAGGTGCTCTGATACACACCTTCGATTGAAGTCGATGATATTCGACAGAATCCTGTTAAGTTTGATCATTTCGGCCAAAAGGGGAGATGCCAATGTGGCCGGCTCACTCATAGAGCCAGAGCTGAAATTGTCGTTCATCGATGAAAATGGTATCTCATCAATCGGAAGCGGTACCATGCTGTCCATCGGCATGATCCGTGCAAGTCTTACCGCCGTAGAAGACCACACATCGACCATACTAAGGGTCCACCAAATTCTGATGTTGACTTCTCGCTCTAAAAGACTAGCAACAGGGCGATTTGGTAAGTCGAGCGCTAAGCACATACGTCCTGCTATAGTATAGTACATGTTTTCGACATCGGTGTCACCACTTGCGGCTGCATATGCGCCAAGCAATACACCCGCCTGAACGGTAATTGGAGTCAGATCACGAATGTTGAATAGTTCCTCACTCGCTATTCGGTATACTTCGCCCCTTTCTCTGGGATCTGTCTCAGCATAGACTGCGTTGACTGAAAACCGAGAGGAAAGGGCGAATATGGCGAAGAGAAGGATATTCGCGACTCTGTCATTCACAACATCGTCCATGAAAGATGGACGATGGTACATTGAATGAAACTGATCGTGAATATAGTCGAAGTATAGGCTAACTAACTCCTCTCTTAGTGCCATGGGAGGTAGTTCTTTGTGAGACTGATTTGCAGGTGGGGGTGGAGGTGGAGGTAGAGGTTCAGATGGTGTCCATGATGTCTGTTGGTTTGCGCCCTCTTTCTGAGCCTTCGCTTGTCGTTGAGCATAATAACCTCCTTTCGGAGGCTCCTGGATACATTGCTGCCCATGCGACGAGCAGTAATCACATGCTACCCATTGATCTCCTGGAGGATATTTGCATTTGCGTCTACGAGCACTTTCTGGCCGTCAGCAGAACGAGCAAGTACTAACGATGGCAGGGGAAGATTTACCGACAGTTAATGCACGCTGAGGGTCTGCGC